TAATTGGGCTTTTTTTTTTAAGACACCCTAATGAGACGAAGACAAGTATATGACTGAGAGAACTGGTTACAGCCATCCACTGATCACAGAGACATGTCTAAACATGTTTTGTTTGGAATAAACACATGAGTGTATGAACTGGAATCCTAACAGCAATACAGTACTTTTTGGTGTGTGTGTGATTTATAGACATTGGCCTAACAGGGTCCTGGGATCAGTCACTTCCGGCATCAGTCAGACAGAGGGACTCACATCTCATCCTCAGGCCCTTCTCCCAAGGCATGAATCACATGTGTTTATAGAGCGAGCCGGGGGGGCCCCCCACCCCCCACCCCCAGCAGGTGTTTCACCTTGTCGGTCACTTGGTTACGATAAGTCTGGAAGGGCACAGGGACACCTCAGGTCACTCTCTGTCCTGCCACTCTCTCGCACTGAGAGCCACAAGGGACAGGACCCACACTCCCTATCCCCTGCCCCCCACCTCTCAGAGCCCAACACCTTTATCTTAGAAATAAGTCGACTCGGCTCGGTTTGTCAGGACTGCTGGAGGAAAGAGGGGAAGCAGGACTGACCGGAAAGCTGCATGTAACAGTAGAGCACACACAAATCCCTCTGTGTTGTTGTCAGGAAGAGAGAAGGGACCAGAATTGTAAAATAAAGCAATGGGGGGGGGGGGCGCCAAAGTGTTCCCGAGGGCTCAATACGCCCAGGCGACAACCCTAAAACCCACCCTGCACAGCCACAAGGAGGGCTCTGACCCGCAGAAGAAACCCTGCTAGTCTGTTTGCTTGCTGATCAAGGGGAAGAAATACTTCAGGAAGAGCCTTGCCCAAAGCATGAGTGCTTCTGAGAGTTCTATGGATTCTTAACTCATTTTTAAAAAGGGAGGTGGGGGCACTTGGGTACCAAGTGAACCTCCTTCCGGAGGGTCTCAGGATCCAAAACTCTGCTTCCTGAGAGTGTTCTATAAGCACATCAGTCAGCTTTGTCACAAATTCTTTCCAGCCCCTGTGCCTGTCTTACCCCTCTCCCCGCCCACCTGAGTGAATGAGGTTACGCTGGAGCCACCACCACCACCAAGAGCGACAGGTAGGGGCTTAAGCGGGCTCCGCCCTCCCTCCCTCCCTGCGGAGCTGAGGCCAGAAGTGAGTGACATCACCTCTCCCAGGGTGAACCGAGCCCAGGCCCAGGCAGCGGGCGCTTCCCCACACCCACCCTGCCAGGCCGTGGAGAAATGTCTCTACTAGTCCCCATAATTAAGGCAAAAAGAGATTTTATGCCTTTCAAGGGAGAGAGAACAGCAAATTAACCCTGAGGGGGGGGGGTTAAGGGGGGAGGAAAGCCATTTTTTCTTACATGGCAGAAACAAAAGCCCACAGGACACACACACACACAAACACGCACCAGAGAGAGAGAGAGAGAAACTTTTCAGACAAACCTGTTCTAATCCTTTGGGAGTGGTTTTGTGCAACCTCCTGCCCAGAAGCCTCCCCTTGTCCTTTCAAAGTCAGACGCCCAAAAGTCACACCCTGCCACCCTGGTCCCCAGGGGGTTTGTGACCTGCTTCCCACGGGGGCCAGGGTAACCCCTCCAAGAGGCCTGGGCCTCAGCTGTCGGCGGTCATCTCACCCATTCAAGCAAACCCCAACTGCTCATTCCCTTTAGGAAGGGGTCTGGGAAGGGACTTTATGCCCCTACTTTGAACCAAACTGAACACCCTGCTTGGGAGGGAGAGGGCAGGGCTGGGAAGGGGAAAACAAAGCAAACTTTATAGAGGAAAAGCAAAAGCTCCGCTCCAAGCCAGAGCCTGAGCCCGAAGCTCTGAGCTTCCAAGCTCAGGCCAGCCAGCCTCCTCACCCACACAGCGCTCCCTCCCCCCTCCTCCCTGCTGGAGAGAGCCCTGCCCCCAGGCCCACCAGGTTCCCTGTCTGCACAGGTTCCTAGGTGAGAAACAATGCCTCATAAGGCAGCATCTACCCAGGCCCAACATACCGGAAGCTCCACCCCAAACTAAACAAACCCACATTGGCGGTCCCGGTGATCCGGTGATCCCAGCTTCAGGCGGTGATCCCAGCTTCAGGCGACCCTGGAGTAAGGCTGAATGGGACTGTAAAAAGCTGTGAATGCTTTATACACGCATGCTGCCATGTCCTTCAGAGTCCCTTGGAGGGGCTGGTGGGTTTGAATGTCTGTTGGCAGGCATGCCCTTTGGCCACTGTCAACAGGACTTCCAGGAAGCTCCAAAGGGAATCCTAAGTCCTGCGTGCCTCCTGAAGGTGAACTGGCCCTTCTGGGACCTTAGCCCTCACTGAGGAAGGTCAAAGAATTGCCATCCCTGTCCCCTCCCAGTTCTGGCTGGAAATAGGTAGGGTACCCCATCTCAGCAGGCCCTCACTTCTACTGGAGAGAGCGGGACATCCAGGTAACGCCAGGTGGGCCGGGGAGGAAAGCCACACAGCTGCACACCCTCCCCAGTGGTTCAGAGTGCAACCGGCATGGCAGACCCACAGAGACAAGCTGCGGTCACCACTTGAGACCAGAACCCCATCTCTGCACTGGAGCCCCAACTCAGAACCCGTTTCTCCGCCCTCGTTTCAGAGGTAAGCATGGGCTTCCTTGTGCTTATTTATTGATCTATGGTTAACTCTCTCCACCACCCCATCAAAGATGCTGCTTCTCTTTCCCAGACCCACACTACCTTCCGACTGAGTCAAAAACTCTTGTCAAACTTAACAATTCCTGCCGGGCGCCAAGCACCTACAAAAGCAATGGGAACACTTATCTTCCAGTGTTACCCAACTAATCTGGAGAGAACAGTTTCACATCTTTGATGTGGTGAAACCCACGTGAAATTGTTCACTACAAATTAGTGGGTAAGCACTGGTAACTCTGTGCTTCCCTTGCTCATTGGGTAATCTGCCTCTTCTCCTCCCCATCGCTCCCCTAGACTACCTCCCATACTCCATTGCCTGAGGGCTCAGGATGCACCAAGGACCCTCTCCTGGGCTCACCCTGCTTCAGGCACAACAGTCGGCTGGGAAGATTTCTTACAGGTCAGTCTCACACCAGAGCCTGCTTTATGAGACCAAATGCCACACGAAAACTCACTGCCATCAAGTCGGAGCTAAACTCACATCACAGCGACCCTAGCGGACAGGGTAGACCTGCCCCTGGTGAGTTTCCGAGGCTGTAACTGCTTGCCAGAGGAGAAAGCCCTATCTTTCAGCTGGTGGTTTCGAATTGCTGACCTTGTGGTTAGCAGCCCAAGATGTAACCACTGCGCCGTCAAGGCTCCCTGGGAAATACCCCCGGTTCTCCATACTTCGCAGTCTAGACCCACCAGTCGCTCTGCGGGAGAACGCCAGCGCTGTGGGCTTCCAACAGATAGATGGATAGATGCACAGCCTTAGAAAGCCCAGAGAGCAGTTCTACCCGGGGTCAAAGTCCGCTCGCCGGCAGGTCGTGCTTATCAATGTAAAGGGAAACAGAGCCAGATCTGCGGAGAGACTGCCCAGATTCCACATTAGAAGTCGTGGACCCCGATGCCCATCCCCCGGCCACAGCGTCTTCCCTGCCCACGTGCTTCCCTGTGCCAGAACGAGGGAAGTGGAGCTGACCAGATGTGGCGAGAGACCGCCACTTCCGGAAGGGGAAGAGCCCCTCGCTCCGCACCTCCCCTCCCCATCCCGGGGGATGGGCGACCCGGCCAGCAGGGAGGACCCGGGAACGCCAGCCCGGGGGTGGCTGGGAGCGTGGGCTCCCCGCGGCCAGCGCTGACACCTGGCGGCGGCCCAGGTCCCAGGCCGTGTTCGGGGCCGGCGTCGCAGGGCGGTTCCCAGGAAAAGGTTGCAGGGGCCGAGAACAAAGCGCCCCCGTTGCAGAAGGCGGGCCGGCGGGCGGTGACCGGGGGCGGGAGCGCCACTTTCCTGGGGCCCTCAGGTGGCACTCAGCGGGCCGGGTCCCGCTCTCCGGGGTACCAGCCCCTCTCGCCAGGTTGGTGTTGGGAATCCTCCCCG